ATATATATATGTATATGTATATATATATATTGCCACTTCAGTGGAAAGCAGTACTGAATATCTGAATATTAGTATCTTAGCTTCTTCATCATCAATGGCTTTTTTTATAGATAGACAAGAAAGAAGAAGAAATAAAGGAGAAAAAAGAAGGAAAGGAAAGAAAAGTTACAATGTAATGGAAAAAGTGAAAGAAAGAATTGATATGTGAGATATATGTCAAGAAAACAATACATACATCCAACATCTGTCTGCACACCTGCAAAGAAATAAGGTAACAAAACTTAGCAAAAGCATACATAGTATATACATTTAGACAGATAAACAAACACCCACCTATATATACCTGGTGATCATTCAGAACTGATACGATATTCTAAAAAATTACCAATATCGGCCGACACCGATATTAACGCCGATGTATCGTGCATCCCTAACGTAAAGGTAATTTCACTGTTGTACATCGCATTTACAACCTCCCACACTATTATCCTAACATGACAAAAATATTAATAAAATATATATATAATAATTTGTTGGAACAGCAAATTTGTCTTTGAGTGGGTTTACCTGACATAAGTTTGTCAAAAATCAATCTAGCATAACTGGCCTACTTCCTGAATCTCCACCATTTGTTTTTTAATGGAAGTTATTTTAATGACCTGTGAAATGTGATACCCTTTGATCTTGTGATTTTGTTGTTGTAGTGTTGAGAATTCACAACAAAACATTAGATCTCTTTTTGATATTCCTTGCATGACTGTCTGCTACATTTCATTTTTATTACCATTCGTGGATGTTGCTCAGTTCCGACTCAATGCATAGCAATGGCACCTGTGTGGCGTGCCATCAGTCACGTTACGTCCAATCCAATAATACATATCACTGCCTATAGAAATATACAGTGTGTTCAATAAATAGAAAAGACAGGGAGATAGGAGCCTACTTAATGACACACAAAATAAAGAGAGGAAGTAGATTTAGAATAACTAAAATCTTCACAAATTAATGAAAAAGGAAACAGAAATTATTACAAAACATCTTTTAGCAACAGAACACAAAGTGATCACAAACAGAAACAGTAAGAAATATATGCACAATAACTACAAAAAAGCAGAAACTATAATACATATAAGTGCTTTTATTCATGATTCTATCTTTTGAGGGGGGGTTATATGAATCTGATCCATAAATATTTATAAACATTTTGAATTAAAATCAGTTCAGTCATGAATATTTATTTTACTGCTATGCAAATATTTTCATCTTAGATAATTTAATTAAAAATTTATTATTGAGAGTTCCATTTTTCAAATCAACACATTTTAACAACAGGAACCAGGAAAAGAAACATTTCCCATCATATGTGACTGTGGTTCTGGTTCTGGACCTGCAGGTGTACGTTGGACTGTGGAAGGAGAAGTCTGTGGTCATCAAATGCAGCATTGAGGATCCAGTGGATCCAGACATCGGGCCAGAATCCGTGGTGCGACCGGAGCTGAGTTTGTTTGACAAGCCGACTCGTGGAACTTCTATGGATGAATTTAAAGAGATGCTCCACAGTTTCCTGAAGGTTTCCCAGCAGCCACTGCATTTTCTGAAACAATTACAGAAACTTTTGAATCTACACCAACAGTGTACCATCCATGTGTTTCTATTTGTCGTCAACACTCAGCTAGATCTTAACACTTCAGGTTTGTTTAATATATTTCTGTTTGTTCAGCATGATAACCAGAGAACCTGCCTCCCCTCCTACAGGCTAACCTTGGTGAACAATCATCTCTGAGTACGCTGGTGGACCGGGTCATCTCTCTGGCTGACGTCAACCAAGATGGAAAAGTGTCTCTAGCAGAAGCAAAGTCCATCTGGGCTCTTCTGCACATCAACGAGTTCCTCCTGATGGTGGCTCTGCAGGAGAAGGAGCACACCCCCAAGCTGCTGGGCTTCTGTGGAGACCTGTACGTGACGGAGCTCGTGAGCCACAGCTCCCTCTACAGGCTGGAGGTACCCGTTTACCTCCAGACCGTCATTCCCGAGGCCCTGAGCTCTGGCCTGAACCACTGGCTGGCTCCGTCGTGGCCCCGCAGGGCCCGCATCACCATCGGTCTGCTGGAGTTTGTGGAAGAGGTTTTCCACGGAACATACGGCAGCTTCCTGATCTGCGACGCCAGCCCCTACCACATCGGCTACAACACGAAGTACGACTGCAAAATGTCCGACCTGCGCAGCGTGGCGTCGGAGGCGGCTGTCCGAGCGTTCCTGAAGGGGCGCCGGTGTGAGAGCAACGCCGACTGCACGTACGGTCGGGACTGCACGGCCACGTGCGATCGACTGGTGAAGCAATGCAACACCGAGGTGGTGCAGCCCAACCTCGCAAAGGTGTGTGTGCTGTTACAGGACTTCCTGCTGTTCGGGGCCCCGTCCAACCTGCGAGAGGACCTGGAAAAACAGCTTCGAACTTGTGTGACCCTCAGCGGGTTGGCGAGCCAGATGGAGGTCCACCACTCGTTAGTTCTGAACAACCTGAAGACGTTACTGTGGAAGAAGATCTCCAACACGCAATACTCCTGAAAACAGATGAGTTGATCTGTTAGGAGGGAGTTTTCAGTCCAGAGGGGTGTTCTGTCAAGGAAAAGACCTTTGTCAGAGGAAAGCTTGTCTGTCTAGAAGGGAGTTTGTTGTCAGGTTCTTCTAGTTCTTCTGTCCAGAGGAGGTAGTTCTTCTGTCAAGGAGTAGATCTTTGTCAGGGGGAAGTTCTTCTGCTGGAGAGTTTATCTGTGGGGAGGTTTTCTGTCATGAAGAAAGTCTTTTGTCCAGAAGGGATTCTTCTGCCAAAAAGAAGATCTTTGTCCAGAGGGGAGTTTGTCAAGAAGGGGGTTCTTTGTCAGGGGTAAGGTCTTTTGTGTTAAGGGGAAGTTCTTCTGTCCAAAGTAAGTTCTTCTGCCTGGACAGAAGATAGAGTTCTTCCCTCTGGAGGGATTTCTTCTGTGTCACGGGGAAGTTCTTCTGTAAAGAGCGAGTTTGTCTATCTGAAAAGGGAGGTCTATCAAGAGGAAGTTCTGTCAAGGAGAAGATGTTATGGTTATGGTATATGGGGATGGGTGAAACCCATGTGAGCAGGGACCTCATAAGTGTGCCCATTACTCTCCCCAAAAGAGACACTGAGTTTTTAATCAAACCTTCTGGTCCCTCGGAAGAAGGACACCAGGTTAGAAACACTTTGTGTTCTAAGCTTCTCGGGACCCGTAAAAGGTTCTCCAAGAATTCAACTAGCCAGGGCCAAGCATTGGCCCCAAGTAGCGCTCCCTTCGACTACTCAGAGGAGATGTTTGTCAGGCGAAACTTCAGCTGTCTGTAAGCGAGTTCGTCAGGAGGAAGATCTCATGTGTTAGGGCAAAGTACTGTCAAATGGAGGTTCTTCTGTCAGGAGAGAGTTTGTCTATAAAGCTAGAGTTCTTCCCTCTGGAGGGATTTCTTCTGAGTCAGGAGAAAGTTCTATCAGGGTGGAGTTCTTCTGGTGACAGATAAGGGCCCATTATACTCCATCCGAAGCTGAACCGTCAAAGCGCGGTCACATGGTTGTTCAATGTTGGTTTTTGCACACACCTTTCATAGCCCCGTAGACACACCGCGCTGAGCTCCTGGTAAACTCTGTGTAGTACATGTCACTTCACGGGGTTTCTGCCCACTGGAGTCTATATCCTGGAAAACAACCCTCTAATGTCTGACTCTCTTTATAAATATCTGCTTCCAGGTACAACGCTTCTAGAAGCTAGTAGTCGAAGCTAAATGCGGCGTCCAAGTGCTTTCAGCATAATAAACACGCCCATAAACTAATAATGCAGAAACTTCCTACAGGTGCTGGTCATAAAATTAGAATATCATGAAAAAGTAGATTTATTTCAGTAATTCCATTTAAAAAAGTGAAACTTGTATATTATATTCATACATTACATACAAACTCATATATTTCAAATGTTTATTTCGTTT